TAAGGCAATTACTGATAATTTAAAACGAAAATTATCAGACTTATGTTTGTTCTATATGATAAAAAATGGCCCTTGAATATGAGTGTTGCTACATTTATTTGTATTAAATAAGGAAACAGACATCTATTTTTATACAAAGATTATGACAAATTTAAATGGAAAATTAAAGTTGTTTTCTTTCAGAATGATGCTTGAGTTCTAATTAATTATCAAATGATATCTTAATCCTTACAAAAAATGAACTGTTACATGTACAGAAAAAAATATCCAATCGCTTTGCAGAAAAGAAAAAATAAAACTTAAGGTCGAATACTTAAACATAGCAATTAAAACTTAAAGGATGTTCCTGTAAGAAATGATTAATATAAAACTAGTTCTGTTCTGCGTTTCCTGTAAGATCATATTTTAAAATCTTACGTAAAAGGAAAAAAATCACTGCGATATATTCCGTTAAAATATACTGTCAATATTATGCAGGGTAATAAATGTACGTATTGAGATCACATGCTAAAGGGTAGCACTTCCTACATCTTGCGATACCGGGATTCTTTTAAGAGTCCAACTTAGAAATTTTTCTCTAATGTTATTGTAAATTAAGTAAAATTACCTTTTTCAATTTACGCAGTTAGTAGTCAAAATTTGCACTGGGGCTTCAGGAAATTCATGCATAAAATAGGATTTATTAACAGTTCAGTCATTAATTTTGAGGAAAAAATCAGGTGTCTCAAACACCTTGTTTTGTTTCGTTTTAAGACAGTAATAAATATTTAGAACAATATCTTTATCAATGATTCTGAGATTCATAAAACAACATCGATATTTGATAAACCTAATATTCCACATTTGCATTAGTATTCATTGTGCACATATCAAAGATAAACGCTTTTTTACGACGCGGTCAATTGCTATAAAAAATGACCGGATGTAATATTTTTATGTGCAATCTGCGTAGGATAAAAGATCATTGCCCTTCTTAGAATTTCATAGAAAATTCGGATTATGTTGACAGTAAAACAAAGAAAAAATGTATTAAACATCTTGTACCAAAAAAGCTAAAGATACTTTTATAGTATTGTGGCCACCATTGCCATAAAAAAGATATGGAAAAGATGTGTTTTTTCCAATTCTTTTTACGAAAATCGTTTAGATAATCGTTGCAAAAAAAACGATTGTTGGGATTATATTTATTATAAAGGAAAGGAGATCAATCATATTCTTCTTGAAATGTCATTTAAAAATAGACATAGATATTAATATAACATATGAAATCGAAGTTTATTACCATTCTGAAAAAGGTCAGAACATGTGATTATATACAGGAACATGATGCTAGTATTTAGATATTTTCAAATAATTTTACAACATCTTGAGAAGTTAAGAACACGTCCCAGATGGGTAGCAAAATAACACATCCAGTTTATCGTAACATATTTTCAAAGTCTAGGTAAATGCAGCCGCATTTATTGTCTCTTCACAAAATGTATTCCAAATAGTGATTAGATAGGTACATAATCAATATTATAAACATGGTGTAACTCATAATGTCCTTATAATATGCTCAAATTGTTTCATTTAATATCTCTATAAAGCTCACAACTATCTTGCTAGAGTTCAAAACCTGAATCATTTCATAAATATCTCTGAAAATCATTACCTTTAGACTTACTCCCAGCTATTGAATTTTTGCATATCATGTATTACACATTCCAATGAAAGCTGTTTCCTTTCACACAAAAAATATTGTTTTACTATATGTACATAATGAAAATCAATGACCCAGGGGTAGGGCCAATTTTGACACAGGGCTAAAATTTAAACAATCTTGGTAGAGGTCTGCCAGACAGTGCCTTATTCATAATATCTAAGCTGTAGGCCGTGTGGGTCTTTACAAGAAGAATTTTTAAATTTACTTTTATCATTCCTTTTGGTTGCCATGGCAACCAGATTTCTGCATGGAATCAAATTCTTTGAACAATTTTGGAAGCCCTTTACCCAAGAAAAAATTCCTGCCAAGTTTGGTTGAAATTAGACCAGTAGTTTTTCACAAGAACAGTTTTTAAGTTCACTATATAATCTATAAAACACACGCGCGCGCACACACACACACACACACGCATGCACGCACAGACACACACAATGAATCGCTTTATGATACTGCAGTGGTATAAAAAGGACAATAACTCCAAAATTAGACAACGCAGAGTTACGGTTCTTCTGTACTGTTCTTTTACCCAATGAGATCTATCAATATACAACGTTTTTTTCATATCTGTTAAAGTGTCAGAATTATGTCCTGGACAAAGTTCAAAGTGTACAAATGAACAAAGGGCAATAACTCCAAGATTATGAAATTCAAGACAAAGTTATGATTCTTTTGCACTGCAGGTTTATTAAATGAGATCCATCTACCTACAAAGTTCCTTGTTGATACCTCCTATGGTTTCAGAGCTTTGTCCCGGACAATTTAAAACCATTTTGCCCACTTGAATTTTATCTAAATTTTGTTGAAGTGGCCTTTCAATTATTCTCATACTTTTCGATCGATAGCATAAAAGAAAATCGTCTACATATAGAGAACAATCTATACCTGGTGTAAGAGCGCTAGCAAATTTGTTTATTTTAAGGCCAAAAAGTGCTTTAAAGTGCCTATCGTTTAGAAATCCAGAAATAAAAAGAGGAGGTCTGCCTTAAATCCAGCATCCTTTAGATCTTTTAGGATACCATATTGCCAAGTAGTATCGTCAGCCTTCTCAAGATCAAAGAAAATTGATACCAGGTGTTGTTTATTTACAAAGGCTTCTCTAATGAAAGTTTCAAGTCGTACAAGATGATCGTTTGTACTTCGCTGTTTACGAAACCCTGACTGAAAATTAGTGATAATTCCATTATTTTCTAGATACCAAACTAACCGATTATTTATCATTATTGACGAATAAATCTTCTAGCTTTGGCTCTAAATATTCTATAATTTTCAAGGTTTTCTGTTGTAGGGCGATGTTCAAACTTTTTAAGTGAAGCTTTACGTATATGAACGGCTTTTTTACATTCATCGTTAAACCATGTTTTTTTTTTTTATTTTGTTACTTTTATTATTTTTTGTTAATGGTATAACTTTGCAGGCAATCGCATGTAATGCTGAAGAGAACGTTTCAGCTATATCAGCAGAAGTGAAATTAAATTTATTTTTTGTTAGATCAATAGAACTGAGCCTTATAAATATTTCCAATCTGCTCACTTTAAATTTGACGTCTTTCATCTGGTATAGAGTCATTAGATGTTAGTAACAATGGATAATGATCACTGCCGTACTGGTTATCTAAAACTTTCCAATTGAAGTACTGGTATATAGCAGAGTAGACAATCGAGAGGTCGATGCAAGAAAACGTACCTGTAGCTGGATGTAGGTGACCGATTATTTAATAAACAAAGCTGAAAGTTATCTATCAATTTTTCAGTTATATTACCCTTGTTATTGTATATATACTGCCCCAGATAGGATTATGAGCATTAAAGCGTCCTAAGAAAAGGAAAGGTGATTTTGATATAGTACTATGAACCCAGTCACTGTGTGAAAGAAGTGTTAGTTGGAGTAGATTAGATGGTATTGAATTCATACTGCTTTAAGCATACAATACCACACATTAATAAGTCATTATTATATATTGTAATAGTATGTAATTATGTGAAAACTATTACTTTTTATAATGACCATTTATTTTAGGTATATGATGTAATTGTAATATATTTTAATGTGATTTGACACTTTTATTGTTAACTGTTAAGATTAAGCCACTAGAACCACTCACTCAATAAATAGCATCAAATGCAGACTATTCAACATTAAAACTTTTTAATGTGTTTTTATAAAAATTAGAAGGAGATAATTTTGAAATGATGGTATATTAAGTGAATATAAATTTATTAATATTTGATATGTCTTCAGTGTGCAGGACTCATGAGGTTGGTTACTGTTATGTGGAACCAGAGTCCAGAAACTTATTAGCAATGAATTTATGGTTTAAGACATTTGTTGAATGATGCAGTGTTATTTTATATTTATCAACATAGAAACATAGTGAACTATGTAATTAATCAATTTGTGACCCAAACCTATATGATGTGATTAATAATTAGATACAAAATATCCAAAGTTAATTCATTATATGTTGACTATGACAAATGAAAAAAGTGGCGTATTTTAAGTGCTAGAAAGTCCTCATATATGTCCATTCCTGGAAAAAAATATGAAAAACTAATCAAGTATAAGGTTGATTCTACATATTCTGACTTTTGTATTGCCACAAAGGGCTTGAAACAAGGGGATCTGAGCTCATCTTTTAAATTCATGCTCTTCGTTAATGGCCGGCATCATACACATTATTTTCAGAGACGTAGAAGTTTTCTTTTACTTTAATCAAACGTGGACTTTTGTTATTTTATTTGAAGGCGGCCGAGCACTTTTTCGTTAATCTCCTGAATCTCTACAGATAATGGAAACATATTATACAATACGTTTACAATAAGTACGTTTGAAACAAAAGCATTTTATGAAAAGGCAAGGATTCACGCCATTTTTTTTTGTATTTATAGCACACCAATAGAACATGTAGGATATAATGTTACTATCTTTTAAAATGGCAGTTTGTTTAGAACTTAAACTTAAATGGCTAACTCCGATTACTTGGAAGTATTTTGTCGTCTGATTCAAAGAAAACTACGTGTGCCCTCGCTTAATCGTTGTATTTGGCAAATCATAAATGTTTCTTTTAGCTTATTTTTCTATTAAACTTGATTCTTAATCAATACAATCAATCTTATTTGTGGCAATCTTTATTTGAATTAATTAGTAAACCGTATATTGTCAATTTTTATTTTATATCGTACTCATTATCATTTGCTATAAGCAAGATATTTTGTTTAATGCTTAATGAAATTCGTATCCTTATTCATATTTCTAAAAAAAAAATGTTAGTTTTTCGAAATGTTAAAGTTTCACTTACGATTTCTTTGGATAGCTCCACTTCTTTGTTTGTACAATAATCGATATCATGCTACAAGAGAAAAAAAACCACATATTATAAAGTTAATTCATGATGTATGTCAATAATTTTTTCTACATTTTAAGAAACTGACTCTTAGTTTGTATTCTTTAGAGATAATCATATTTTTTATGTATCTATAAATCTAAATTTTATTATGAAATGTTTATACAAGAGGAATTCAATTAAGATAACTTAACAAAGGATTTTCTTACAAACTAAATATTAAAATATGTGACCACCCATATATTGGGTCGTCAGACGCAAACGTCAATAGCTCTTATTATTCATAAAGTAATCAAAGGGTTTCATTTTCCAGAAATTGCGGGAAAAAGGGCATATTTACAGGGAGGGCCCCTTTAAAATAATTTTAAGATAACATTGAAGAAAACTATTTAAAATCGGAAACTTCGGAAAAGATTCAACCCACCGTTAAACCCTTGTTTGTATTAAATGCCCTTCACACTTTCGTTTTAATGGGAAAGTGTTTTTCTGTTTTTTTTTAATTGACAATTTTAATTTAAAGGGGCATTGCAAAAACCCGTATATTTAAGTCCCCGGGTTTGATTTGTGAAAATTGTTCCCCTTGCCCTATTTTAATTTTTTTTATTACTTTTAAACAAACTTTTTATGAAAACAAGAGCTCCGCGAGGGGGGAAATTTGTCCCCTTTGGGTTAAAAAAAGTATAGGCTGTCTTTTGGGCTTTTTTCCCTTCTAAAAAAATGGGGTTTTTATTTAAAAACACCAACTCTTCAATGCACATGTAACTTTTAGTGGGGGGGTTTGAACTCATTTTTAATTTTTTTTACATCAATACTGGTGAAAGCTTGAAAAACTTTAATTGTTTTAGGAGTTTTTAAAACCCTGGGGATTCAGGGGGAAAATCCCCCAAAAATAAGTTTAACTTTTTCTCCAAAAAATTAATTTTTAAAGTTCGAAGGGGAAAGCCCCCAAATAACAAAAAAAAATCAGAGAAATACAAATTAGGGGTTTTGTGGGGTTCACCCCTTGCCGGCCTTTCTTTTCCCCATGTTTGTGAGAACTTTCCCCCCTCAACCCGAGAAAACTTTTTTAAATTTTTAGGTTTTGGAAAAAGGCCCGGCCCCAAAATATAAAGTTAAGGAAAGGTTCCCAAAAAACTCCCCAAATTTCCATTCCGGGGGACAGAACCTTTTTTAAAACTTTGGGCCTGTATCTAAATGAGAACTATCAATCCCCAAATGAAGTTTAAAGTCCATAGCTTTTATAATTTATGAGAAATGGCCCCGGAAAAATAATTAAAAGTTATGAAAACTTTAAAAAAGGCAAATATATATATATATATTTATTATATATAATTATATATATATCATATATATATAATATATGTATATAGTATTATATTACTTTAACTAGTATATATATATCTATATATTATATAATAATATAATATAAAACAAGAAGTGCAGAGTAACAAGGTTATTGGTGGCACTGCCCAACATTTTTCTTTATCAGATCTAATCATCCTAGAAAGTTGTAAGTCAATAGCTTTTACAATTAATGAGAAATGGCTCATCTGCTGGACAAAAAAATAAAGTATGACCAATCAACAAAGGGCACTAATTCACCAAACAAAACACTGGGCATATTACCGTTTTTTTGTGCACTGTACCCTTACTTCTTTAAATGAGAATTATAATCGTTCCTATTAAGTTTTAAAGTCCCATAGCCTTTTAAAATAGGTTTAGAAGAAATGACCTGGACAAAAATAAAGTATGAAAATTAACAAAGGGCATTAACTCAAAAATTTAGAAGCGCAGAATAACGATCCTTGTGCACTGCACCTCGGGTCATTGCAAAAAGCATGCATACCAAGTTTGGAGTCTTATAGTGACTGAGTTATGCTCCGAAAAGCCTAAGGGGACAGCGACTCCTAAAACAAAAAGCGACTCCTACGACAAAAGTAACCCCTATATGTCGCCTTGTTCCAAGCGACACAATAAGAATAAATCTGGAAGCAAGCAGCTTTCAATACACATATATATCAACTTATACAAAACGTCGAGCGCGTTATAGTGTCCGAAGCTTAAAAGTTTTGTAAGATAGCTTACTCAAAAACAAAATACCCGTTTATAGTTTCAAACCTGATTTAAATACCAGTTCATGTAGTTTCCTATTTAGACGTAGCTATAATTACACACAACTCAACTAGACATAAGATTCTTGTGTGTTCTAAACGTTTCACATTGCAATATATTAAAGAGTACACCAGAGTCAGTCAAGCAGTTGGTGGGATGTCAAGCAGGCAACTACCTTGTTGAATCTTATTCTAATTTTGAATCATGCAGCCATCTTGACCAGCAAACTGGAACGAGCTAAGCATTCTCGTACAAGACAACCAGATTGTCATAATTGTAAGCAGTTTAGAGATTATTGCTAAGTAAAAAATGTCGGTTAAAGCATATTTGCACACCATCTCATTGTGGCCAAGTACTTTCAATTTCTCTCCATTGGCACACAAGATACAGTGCAGACACGAAATTTTAAAACTCATACATAATGACAAAGTGTGACTTTGACCTTGGCCAGGGAAGGTCAAACATGCACTTTGCACCTCGACTCCTAATGATTCCTCCCAAGTAGTATTAATTTCATTCCGTCGGTACAAACAATTAAGAGTAGACAGGACATTGGTCGCAGACGGACGAACGGGTAGATGGACGTTATCCATGATTTAATGTTATGGCTCACAGACCCTACAAGCAATGTGGTGTATACATCACATAAGTATCCTGATTTACTACAAGTCCGTTCAGAATAAACACATATATTCATCCCATAATGTCACCAAACGACCAGGTGAATAATAATATTCGCCGAATTTCGGTTGTATAAAAACTATTTATGTCCAAATCGGATTTTCATAACTAAGCGTTGATATCATCATTTTGAAATTGTTACGAATTAACTTAACAGCTTGGTATTCTTCGTCCTAACTATCTTTCTACAAAAACCAAAGAAATAACAACTCTTGTTATGCGTTTGCGAGAGAAATGCTTATTTATTGTATGTGCACGACTAAATATGTTACCACATTATTTACATTTAATGTAAACAAAACTTAGGACAATGGAGGAATACACATCCTACTAAACAGCTTATATATCTAATACACGGATATGAAAATAATAATTCTGCATTATTATGTCTTTCACTATATAAAATTTTGAATTGACAGAATATGCATTTATCTTGACCCTATGCAAAATTATGAGGTCACGTTAACAAAGCATGTTCCCGAACACAATTTATGGAAAAATGTATTTTTCACAAAATTGATCGCAAATCCGTCTTAGGAATGACGACAGCCGCCCACTGAACAACCTAGACCTACTTTGTAGGGGGAAACCGTGTTTCCGTGTGGCATGCACGGGTTAAAAAGTTAATTTAAACGTAAAACTTTAAATTCATTCCTCAGGATAAAGGAATCACCGCTCTCGGAAAACATTTCCGAACATGCTAATAAAGAAAAATCAAAAATATCACCAAAAGGTACTACACGTCTGATATCATTTCTTGAATTTGAAATTGCCACGTAGAAAATCTCGCTAGAAACTGATTTCAACAATCAATATCCCGCGCAAACATAAACTCTTATTCACGAACCGTGACAAAACCGGTTTTTGTTATACAATGTCCCGTAAGGACAATAGTACTCAAACTATACGATGTAACGTTGAAAGTACTTAAAAGTCTTCACATGTATTGGATGGTTTCATTGATTTTCTTTTAGCTTATGTGTAAGTATCATGTTTTGTGTTTATTTACTCTCCTGCGCTTCCGTAGAATGTTTCACTGTCGTCCACTTTCTTAATAGTAATATATTCCAAAAGCTGCCAAGGGAGTGAACTATTTATATTATTTAAGAAATAATATATCATTTTCAGTTGTATTTAATTAGAAAATAGACATCTACAGTTTATGTTAGATTACGACAAATTATTTATCAACCTTTGATATTTAATTTTTACAATACAGAGAACTGTTTAAGAAAAACATCTTATTGCTTTACATTGAATATAGGGTAAAATGTTTTTCATAAAGAAATGAACATATATTTGTTTAATTACAGTAATATTTATTACATTAACTTCAATGGTATTTATTGTAATATCCAATTAATATAATACGTTTAATAATTCGATATTGAAAAGTAAATGCCTGTTTAACAATTGGAACTGGATGTTCAATTTTCGATTTGTATTTTGTATCCCTTTTTTTTCTTATATAATTGAGAGATTTGTTTTTGATGCTATGAAAATGCTTTATACATCAAATCAATTAAATTGACATAAATAAATTATATATGAAAGCAGTTTATGTGTTAATTATCGCCCCAGGATGGGATGTTACATTGAATGAAACTTCTTTCTGAGAATTTACGAGGCCAGTATGTGACGTTTGCAAAATGTAAAATAGATCCATAAATAATTACAAAGTTATGAAACCTTAAGCAAATTTCAATAACTTGACATTGACAGTCAAAATCAAATAAAGGACAAGAATAAAGATAAGAATAATGCAACATGTCGGTTTTGTCATAAATGTTCTTCAAATGTATTAATAGATAACAATAAAAATTTGAAATTGACGGTTAGGTCAATTTAAATTCAAATTCATATCAAAATAATTCTTATTTCTTCAAAAATGAATAAAATATTTAAAGGAATATAAAAGTTATGACAATCTAATCAAACTTCAAAAACCTGACTTTGTCAACATCGATTACATGTTAAGGTCAAATCAAAATAATTCAACATGTCTAATTTGTCATATGTGCTCATTTATGCATGTATGAATCAAATCAGGAAAAAAGAAAAGTTATGATAATGATCAATGATGATAATTTAAGCACATTTCAATAATTTGTCCTTAACAATCAAGGTCAAATAATGGTCAATGTCCTTTTGTTATTGTTCAGCATGTCGGTTTTGTCATAATTGTTTTTTTCTGCAATACGAATCAAATCTATAATTAATATAGTAAG